TTGTTTTTTTTTGTTTTTGAGACGGAGTTTCACTCTTGTTACCCAGGCTGGAGTGCAATGGCGCGATCTCGGCTCACCGCAACCTCCGCCTCCTGGGTTCAGGCAATTCTCCTGCCTCAGCCTCCTGAGTAGCTGGGATTACAGGCACGCGCCACCATGCCCAGCTAATTTTTTGTATTTTTAGTAGAGACGGGGTTTCACCATGTTGACCAGGATGGTTTCGATCTCTTGACCTCGTGATCCACCCGCCTCGGCCTCCCAAAGTGCTGGGATTACAGGCTTGAGCCACCGCGCCCGGCCCTGATACATTTTTTTAAAACACACAAAAGGAAAAGTGAGCTTTTCCTCCACCCCTGGCAACCCTTGCACAGTCCCTCCTCTATAAAGGAAAACTATACTTAACAGTTTCTGATGTACTCTTACAGGAAAAGAAAATATTTATGAAGGCTGGGCACAGTGGCTCACACCTGTAATCACAGCACTTTGGGAGGCCACGGCAGACGGATCACAAGGTCGGGAGTTCGAGACCAGCCTGACCAATATGATGAAACCCTTTCTCTACTAAAAATACAAAAATTAGCTGGGCGCGGTGGCGGGCGCCTGTAATCCCAGCTACTCAGGGGGCTGAGGCAGGAAAATCGCTTGAGCTGGGAGGTGGAGGTTACAGTGAGCCAAGATCATACCATTGCACTCCAGACTGGGTGACAGAGTGAAACTCTGTCTCAAAAAAAAAAAAGAAGAAAAGAAAATATTTATGAAAACCCACCATGTCAACAGTTGTCTATCTAAGTTCTTTTTTTGCACATAGTACTGCATCTTGCCTTTCCCATCTCACAATGAAAATTAAAACTTTGCGGCCAGGTGCTGTGGCTCACGCCTATAATCCCAGCACTTTGGGAGGCTAAGACCGGTGGATCACAAGGTCAGGCATTCGAGACCAGCCCGGCCAACATGGTAAAATCCCATCTCTACTAAAAAAAAAAATACAAACAAATTAGCTGGCTGTGGTGACATGCGCCTATAATCCCAGCTACTCAGGAGGCTGAAGCAGGAGAACAGCTTGAAGCCGGGAGGCGCAGATTGCAGTGAGCCGAGTTCGTGCCACTGCACTCCTTTGCTTTATTTTTGTGCTCATTATATAAATATAGGTTCATTGTTTTTTTTTGTTTTGTTTTTTTTTTTTTTTTTGAAACGGAATTTCACTCATGTTACCCAGGCTGGAGTGCAATGGCGCGATCTCGGCTCACCGCAACCTCCGCCTCCTGGGTTCAGGCAATTCTCCTGTCTCAGCCTCCTGAGTAGCTGGAATTACAGGCACGTGCCACCATGCCCAGCTAATTTTTTGTATTTTTAGTAGAGACGGGGTTTCACCATGTTGACCAGGATGGTCTTGATCTCTTGACCTCGTGATCCACCCGCCTCGGCCTCCCAAAGTGCTGGGATTACAGGCTTGAGCCACCGCGCCTGGCCGGTTCATTGTATTTTTAAAAATGCCTAATAGTATGGAGAAGAACATCGAAATCAGCAGAGCATTCACCACACTGGGATAATTGCCACCCAACAGTCTGGTCACCATCTCCCCCGATCTCACTACAAGGCATCCACAGTGTCCCTGCACACGGCAGCTAGAAGCTAACAACATGCTCCCCTCTGCTCAGCACACATTTTCATTCTTTTCTATGTTCTTCCCTTTTGACAGTTAATGACACAGTTGCTAACAGCTATTTTTAAACCTTCAACTAGTGTCAGGCAGCTGAGACACTTTGTCTCAGATACCATAGTAAGTCTGTACCTCCAGGAGGCCAATCAGTGACCATGTGGAAACCTGATTTTGTGGAGAATGCAGGGAAGTATAGTATACAGGCAACGTCTAACCCTGTGGCCACCTGCATGCACAATTTTTCAAGAGACAGATACTCTGCCGGTCACTTAGGGGGCATTGTCCCTCCTCCATCTGTTTTGTTTTCTCCTTCTGAACCACAATGCCAATGGGACTGATAAGCAGCTTGTAAGAGATGTGGGAAAACCCATTCAGGGTAAAACAAAGCTGCCTGAACAAAATAGTAAAGGCGTAAATAGGTGTTCTGTGATGGATCTCCCAGCTATTCTATTCTAATAATGGTGGTCCTTCTCTTCAGTCTAGAAAAGATATCAAAATTCATTCAGGAGGCAGGGCGAGGGCAAAAAAATGGGTGAAGGGTCGACAGAGTTACCAGAAACACACTTTTCTCTAGAGTTGCTCAAGAATTTAGTGAGAGGTCAACTGTTTTGTAAAAATTCAGAAGGTGTTTAGATATCCCCTCATCCAGCTGTGTCCTCCTTGGACACACCTAGAATCTGTCGTGGTGGCTCACGCCCGTAATCGAAGGATACTGGGAGCCTGAGGCAGATGGATCATCTGAGGTCAGGAATTCAAGATCAGCCTGGCCAACATGGCGAAACCCCATATCTACTAAAAATGCAAAAATTAGCCAGACATGGTAGTGGGCACCTGTAGTCCTAGCTACTGTGGGAGGCTGAGGCAGGAGAAGCACTTGAACCCGGGAGGCAGAGGTTGCAGTGAGCCGAGATTGTACCACTGCACTCCAGCCTGGGCAACAGAGAAAGATCTTTCTCCAAAAAAAAAAAAAAAAAAGAATCTGAGCTTCCAACTTTCTTTGTCCAAAATCTATCAGACAGGAGCTTTACTACAAACCGCTGTGTTCTTCCAGGGCCTGCTGGAGCCTTGCCTATCTCGTGCCCCCTTGTGATTCAGGGCTAGGCTAAGAGAGCCCCAGAAGAAAGGCTGCCTGACAGTCCCAAATCCTACCTCCCCATCATTCAAGGACTCCAGAGCCAAACAGAAGGGTGCCTTAGGAGTTTGGGGCAGAAGGGAGGGGAGGCGGGGGAAGGAGCTGTTCCCAAGCCTGGGCTGGATTCAGCTAAAACTCGCATCTCCTGGTGGGGCATAGTGGTTCACGCCTGTAATCCCAGCACTTTGGGAGCCGAGGCGGACAAATCAATTGAGGTGAGGAGTTCAAGACCAGCCTGGCCAATATGGCGAAATCTCATCTCTACTAAAAAATACAAAAATGAGCTGAGCGTGGTGGCGGGTGCCTATAATCCTAGCTACTCAGGAGGCTGAGGCAAGAAATTGCTTGAACCTGGGAGGTGGAGGTTGCAGTGAGCAGAGATTTCGACACTGCACTCCAGCCTGAGCGACAGAGCAATATTTCGTCTCAAAAAAAAAAAAAAAAAAAAAAGAGTATGAGACCAGCCTGGCCAACGTGACAAAACCGTCTGTGCTAAAAATACAAAAACTAGCCAGGCATGGTGGCATGCACGTGTAGTCCCAGCTATTCAGAAGGCTGAGGTGGGAGGATGGCTTGAGTCCAGAAGGCAGAGCCAAGATTGTGCCACCACTGCACTCAGCCTGGGCGACAGAGCAAGGCTTGTCTCAAAAAAAAAACTCCTACTCCTCCCCAAAGCCTACAAAGCTACTGTCAGTGAGGACCCCACCCCTTTGCTAATTACTCATAACAGTCACTGGAAACCCTAAGGTAATTTCCCGCTTCTCCTCAAAGAGCCAAGCTTTCATCAGAGCCAAAACTTCTGTGCAGGAATAATCTGTTCTTAAAAATAATGAGCAGTTGCTCCAGAGGAAAACCATACAGATGCTGCTGTTGGGAGCTGATGCGCAGGAAGACCCACCCTGCTACCATCCCACACCCCTGCCAGCCAGGTGGATTCCTTGCAACTAGGAGGGGAGTTCTGCAGGCAAGAATTGTGAGCAGATCCCCGCTCCTGCTGCCCACGATGCTCTTGGAGCTGGCAGAACTCAGCTGGCTGCACAGAGCCAAGGATAAACAGGAGGATCTCTAAGGAGGACCTCCAGAGCCCAGCCAGAGAGGGCAACTAGGCAGTGAATAACCTAGTTATTCACTTGTGTAGGGGAGATGGCCAATTTGGGCTAACCCCCAGGGCCTTCCCACTCTGGGAGGAAGAAACCCTAAAAATTGACTGATGGTGGACTTTTCAGCTTGGTGAGTACAGGCTGGAACAAGATGTATTTTTTATTTACTAAAGAAGTACGAAATATCCTGGCCCCAAGGAGGTTTGGAGTAAATTCATACATTACAGCCAGCCAAAACTGCAAAACTTGCAAGGCTACACTCTGGACTGGCATGCCTTCCTAATATTTATCTTCTGCTCCTCTCCATGGGAGTGTGGCTGAAGAGTGCAGCTGGGCACCTAGGTTCTAGTTCCAGCTCTGCCCCAACTCAAAAATCACTTGCGGAGCATTTGCTGAACACAATTTTCTGCCTCCTGAATCCTGCTGTTCCCCACCTGGAAATCCTTGCCATCTGTTGGGTCCCACAGACACAGCAAGCCCTCGCTCTCTTAGCACTTAAGAACACTTCCCAGAGTTCAGCATGTTGGCTTTAACTGGGGTCAGTGTTTCACACACTCGGAGGAAAAGCCCCTCTTCAAGCCACCTCTTCCAAACCTTCAGCCAGGCCCTTTCACGCTCCCAAACCCACACACTGAGGTGATCCAGAGGCAGCTCAGGGAGAGAAAAGCTTGACAGATCACCCAGGGAGGGCTGGAACTAAACCTGCTCATAGAAGGGGCTTGCCAGGGGTTAGACACCACAGGCCGGCAGCAGGAGCTGGAGAGACTTCCCTTCTAGCCTGGCTTTGCCAAGAACTCCCTGTATACTTGGAAGGTTTCTTTCTGGCTCCCTCTTAAGATCCAAATGCACAAATCAAGAAGCTTGAACTCAGCCGGGCGGGGTGGCTCACGCCTGTAATCCCAGCACTTTGGGAGGCCAAGCAGGCGGATCACCTGAGGTCAGGAGTTTGAGACCAGCCTGGCCAACATGATGAAACCCCATCTTTACTAAAAATGCAAAAATTAGCCAGCCGTGGTGGCATGCACCTGTAATCCCAGCTACTCGGGATGCTGAGGCAGGAGAATCGCTTGACAGGGAGGTGGAGGTTGCAGTGAGTCGAGATCGCCCCACTACACTCCAGCCTGGGCGACAGAGCGAGACTGTCTCAAAAAGAAGAAAAAAAAAAAAAAGCTTTAACTCTAAGCTCTCCGGATTCCTTTAGCCAATTCTGCGAGTCCAAAGTCCTCAATACTAGCATCCTATTGGTTGTCACGCTTGCGTTTCGCATTCCAATAGGCAGTAAGCTTGAGATTCTTTGGCACGAAGCAAAACTCCTCTTTGACTCAGTGAGGCAAAGGCCTTCCACGACCTGCCCTGACACTATCGTTTCCTTTCCTCCCACTGGCTCTACCTGGCTCAGAAAGTGCGGAATGTATTAGGGCGAGGAGAGATTCTGGAAGGTGACACATCCGCTCTGCCTGCCCCCACCCTCCACGCCTGTCCCTCCACGGGTCCTGCGGCTGAAAGGTCCGCTGCAGGTACCCTCGGCCTGCGCCCACCCTCACCCCACCCTGGCAGTCACCTGGAGCCGGAAGCGCTGCGCCGCCCTGTCCATGCTCTCCAGGCCGGCTCGCTGCCTCTGTCGCGCCCGGGCCACCGCGCCCCGCGCCGTCCGGCATCCAGACCAGCGCAAGGCCACGGCCGCCGCCACGAAGCAGCAGGCCACAGCGACCCCGGAGGCGCCAGACAGCGCGGCCCACAGCTCGTGCTGCACCATGATCCCCGCAGCCTGCCGCTGCTCGCCGCGACAGTTGAAGCGGCCGCACACACTAACAGCCCGCTCCGCCGCAAAACCCGGCCTGGATCAGCCTGGATCCCTGGCCCGCCTGCGCGGGAGGGGAGGGGTAGCCCACCAAGCTCAGCGGCGACCGGAGGCGGCCCGCCTGGTCCGCCCAGCGACCTCCCGCACCCCGCCAAGCCGAGCGGGAGGGTTGGGAAGGGCGCCTGTTTCGCGTGGGCGATCTCCCGAGCTTGAGTTAAGCCCCGGTTCGGCGCCACAGCCCTCGGCCGGGCCTCTGCCCGGCGCACACCAGAGTCCCAACTCCTGAAGAAGCGCCCCAACCAACAAGATCCGGAGCAGCGACGGATTGGGCACGCGGACTCTTTAACCTCGGGAAACCCTGTCGCGGCATCTTTCCTGGAGAACCAGGAGGTTGATCGTGCACCGCAGGGCTCCCGCCTCCCCCCAGCGCCGAGCTTTCCGGGGCGCCAGCCCCGGACAGACACAAGGAGAGTCTCCGGGGCGTCCACCCCCTGCCTCTCCTCTTTCCCCAACCCAAGACCCCAGGTCTCTCGCCCTGGGCTCTTCACTGCCCAATCCGCCCATTATTTGTCCTTTGGCACAGCCACTTCCTGCAGACTGGCCTCCCCAGGGTCACCCTGTGCCAGTCCTGGGCGCTTCTGGATTGTACATCCAAGAAGCAGAAGGAACGCCAGACCACGGGGAGTCTGGGGACCTGGCGCCTTCGGAGCGGGATGAATTTCAAGGACACAGACACACACACACACACACACACACACACACACACACACACACACACACGCTCCTTACTGCCGTCCTGGCCTCTCTCACAGAACTTTATGTGCTTTATCTCAGTTGTTCTCCCAACAACTTTGAAAAAAGCATTTTTGGCCGGGCGCAATGGCTCACGCCTGTAAATCCAACACTTTAAGAGGCCGAGGTGAGTGGATCACCTGAGGTCGGGAGTCCGAGACCAGCCTGTCCAACGTGGCGAAACCCGTCTCTACAAAAAATACAAATATCAGCTGGGCATAGTGGTGTGCGCTTGTAATCCCATCTACTTGGGAGGTTGAGGCAGGAGAATCACCTGAACATGGGAGGTGGAGGTTGCAATGAGCCGAGATCACACCACTGCACTCCAGCCTGGGCGACAGAGTGAGACTCTGTCTCAAAAAAAGAAAAAGAAAAACATTTTTATGGTCATATTACTCATGAGCTAACTGAAGACAAAGGGTATTAAATAACTTATGTCCCATAGAACTGATGTCTATAAATTAAGTATTTAAAATTTAAAAAAAGTAACTTGTGGGTAACGCAAGTGGCTGAGTGGGTGGGGATTCCACTCAGAAGCCGAAAACGGAGCTCTCCCCCATCGTCAACACCACCATTACTGCCCCTGGAAGTGAGTCATAAGTTTAGAATGTGTGTATCTTTGGGTTGATGGTAGCTTTTTTTTTTTTTTTTTTTTTTTTTATTTTGTAGTGGTCCTATTTGTCTCGATTTTTTTTACTTAAAGTGTGGTGGGGTACTGGTAAGTGCTTTGTGCCAGGAAACACTGTCTCCTGAAACAGCGGGAGAGGCGCGGGGCTGGGGATACAGTCCTGGATCCTGGTTGTTTTGACCTCTCTGAATCTGTGCCTTTACCTGTCTAAGGGGGCTGGTTATGATGCCTACCTTGCAGGATTGTTAGTAATGCTGCCTGGCGCTTAATAGGCCCTCCATAAATGATTATGAATGGAGTGAAAGGCCCACCAGTGGGGAGACTTAGTTGTTACTGGAAGAATCCCAGCCTGAGGAGGGCCTTGAGTCAGGCTCCTGAGCAGGTTAATCAGGGTCCCAAATTCTTGTGTTTCTAAGTCTGCAGTGAGGATTGAGCGCCTCTGTTCCTACTCAGCACTGATAACTCTTTACAAGTTTCAAGTTCGTAGACCTCAGTTTCCCTAGAAAAAGGGAGCTGACAGGTGCTGATGATAGAAACAGCAATCTGAAGTGGTTCTTATGAGGTCACCTCACCCCATTTCCTGGGCAAAAGAATGGGACACTAGGCTGGGCGCGGTGGCTCAGGCCTGTAATCCCAGCACTTTGAGAGGCCAAGGCGGGTGGATCTTGAGGTCAGGAGTTCAAGGCCAGCCTGGCAAACATGGTGAAACCCCGTCTTTACTAAAAATACAAAAATTAGCCAGGCATGGTGGTACATGCCCGTAGTCCCAGCCACTTGGGATGCTGAGGCAAGAGAATTGCTTGAACCCGGAAGGCAGAGGTTGCAGTGAGCCGAGATCATGCCACTGCACTCCAGCCTGGGTGACAAAGCAAGACTCTGTCTCAAAAAAAAAAAAAAGAGAATGGGATTCTAGCCCTCAACTCACCCTTCGTTTGTTGGGTGACCTTGGGTAACTCAATCTTCCTTTTGCAAAATGAGAAGCATTTTTCCAGACCCTCTCTCCCTCTCAAAGGGAAAATAACATAGTCCTAGGGAAACACTGGCCATTCCTGAGGCTTAATCACCAAGTTTGTAACCTGTTGTGAGTAGAGCCAAGATTTCCTACTTTAGGGACTCCAGTTACAAAGCATTCACTTGTGTTTGCTGCAATGATGGCTTCTGTAAGCAGAAAGCTCCCTGGGGGCATATTAAATAGGCTTTAATTTACAAAAAGGGTCTAGGGATTAGGAGTGGGTTTGGAGGCCAGTGCAGCAAGTCCTGGACTGAGTCTAATGTTTTAGTCACAGTGAGTGGCCACTTCGTTCCTGTGAGAGAGGATCCAGAGACCCTTCTGACATCCTGTGGTTCAATTCAACAGACAACCACTGATGCCTGCTACTATATGCTGTCCGCCAGGGCAACTTAAACGAATACTAGACCGAAAATCTGGCCTGTGGAGCTCAGGTCTGATTGGGAAGAAAAAAGATGTGCATCGACCAACACAGGCTTTGGTGGAAATGCCTGTGAGATCATGCTGCATAACCCAGAGGGCCTTGGATTCTGGGCCCTTGGACTGAACAGTCTTTGGGGAAAGCAAGATGGCACATGGTGTACAGCATGTGTTTTAGAGCTTGGCTCTGGAGTAGACTGGCTAGTAACCCATTCTTGTTGTGTGACTCTCTGTGTCTCCATTTCCTTACCTATCAAATAGGGGTAATAATAGCACCCCCACACACACACACACCAAATACTCTGGTACTATTATAAGTATCAAATGAGTTAATACATGTAACACAACCAGAACAGGACCTAGCATATGTATAGCAAGCAATCCATGCAGGTTAATCATTATTATTGTTGTTGTTATTACCTATTATTAGAAAAACTGAGGCCTACAGAGAGGGGTTTTATGGCCTGAGAATCCCAAGCTCAGGAAACAGACTGCCTGAGTTCAGATCTGAACTCTGCCACTTACTGTATAACCTGGATGTAGGAAGTAGAAAAGCTCCTCTTCAAAGTTTCCTTTCTTGTTAAAGAATAAATCATAAGTGTTAGAAATAATAGTTTGTTTTAAAGACTTTCTTCAAAGTCTTCTTGCTTTTTGCTAATAACTCTTTGTTAAGCCCTATCCTATAGAGCTGTTAGACATGCTTACAGGCACGTAGTACATTCTATGTCCTTGTACTTTAACCAAGATATTTATTTTTTTTTTATTTTTTTATTTTTTTTTTTTATTTATTTATTTTTTTTGAGATGGAGTTTCGCTCTTGTTACCCAGGCTGGAGTGCAATGGCGCGATCTCGGCTCACCGCAACCTCCGTCTCCTGGGTTCAGGCAATTCTCCTGCCTCAGCCTCCTGAGTAGCTGGGATTACAGGCACGCACCACCATGCCCAGCTAATTTTTTGTATTTTTGGTAGAGACAGGGTTTCACCATGTTGACCAGGATGGTCTCGATCTCTTGACCTCGTGATCCACCCACCTTGGCCTCCCAAAGTGCTGGGATTACAGGCTTGAGCCACCGCGCCCGGCCTATGCCGTTACTTTTCTAAGTCCTTTCACAAGCAACTTCCTGTCCCTTCCTTATTTGGACTTCCTCTTTTCCTTTTGTTCTCCATTGCCTTTACCTATTCAAGAAAGTTTTAAGTTATTAACTAATCAGGTTCAGCTTTAGATTATGAAGTCTGGCACCGACTGTTGAAAAACGTGCACTTTGAATGAAGAGACCTTCCAAACAGGCTTTGTGTGAGCAACATGGCTGTTTATTCACCTGGGTGCAGGTGGACTAAGGCGGAAAAGGGCATTAGCAAAGGGCAGTAGCATAGGAGTTGGTTTTATAGGTTTGGGTAGTTTTTTGGGGGGCAGGAGAGTTGCAGAGTTAGTTCAGTTACAGTAGTGGTGGGTAGGGGCAAGGAGTATAGATGACCACAAGTTCACTTACAATGGCAGGGTTGAGTGAGAGGTATTTACATTATCATAAGAACAGTTAAGATGGCAGGGTTGGGTGAGAGGTATTTATATTATCATAAGAACAGTTAAGATGGCAGGGTTGGGTGAGGGGCTTGTCCGGAACAATGGCAAACACAGGCACAGGGTGGGAGACATCAGCCCAGGCAAGCAGGACTGCAGACTTTCAGGCTCCAGGCTTTCATATGGAGACCTGACACCAATCAACAGAGATCAAGCACAGTGCTAAGGACAACCCCAAATGCGTAAGAGATAAAATATGTCTGCTTTTCCTTTGTTTCTTGTACTCTCGTAGCAAGATGGCTAACAAGCACACCCTTTCTGCAGAAAGTAGAATTGCCTTGCTGAGAGATCCTTTGTCTCAGTGCTGATTTTTTTTTATGGCACTGAGCATCTGTTTCCAACATGGGAGTAAGCCATGTTAACCTCTTGTGCCTCAGTTTCCTTATCTGTAAAATGGGGATAACACTGGTGACTATCTCACAGAATTATTGTGAACATTAAGTTAATCCAAGCAAAGAGCTTGGAATAGCACCCTACCCACTGTAAGGTTCAATAAATGTTAGCTCACTTTATTTTAAGCAGAGATTTATGCAATCCAACCAGTATTTTGGGAAGGCAGTGTGGAGGAGGGTTGGGAGAGGCAAGCTGGAAGCTAAGGTCATGGACTAGAAAAGCAGGTAGATGCAAA